CTCAGCTTGAATATAGAGGTTAAAGTTGAGGTGGATGTCATGCATGTCTTTATTTTATTATTATTTTTTTTTTTACAATTTACTTCTTCAAACTTTAGTTTTAGTTTGAGTTCTAGAATCCGCATTTCTTCAGTACTTTACTAAGATGTGAGTCTGGTCACTGTGGAATCTCTGTGAGTTAAGATGGAGTGATTGACAGGTAGATTAGCCAATCAGAGACTTGCGTTCTCTGTCTGTATTACAACAACGAGGAAAATGAAGAAAGAAGAAAATGCAACAGGGACTGAAAAACTCTGAAACACTCTGACATGTGAAAGGTTTATTCAAAATGACAAGTGACCAATGAGCTCCTTTGTTTCACATGCATCAGTGAAATAAACAAATCTGATTGGACAGAAGTTTGGCCAAGCGATCCTTTAGTACAAATATGGAAGAAAATTTGTCTGGAGTCAATTTTCTGTTTCTGGATCTAACTGAAATGCCTTGGTTGAGGCCCTGAGTATCTGATATTTACTGTATTTTCCGGACTATAAATCACACCAGATTATAAGTCGCACTTTTTGGGGAAATATATTTTATAAAATCAGAGACCAGGAACTGACATTTCACCTTGAAAGGAAAATTATAGTAATAACAACATAAGAGAGAACAACAGACTGAATAGGCATTAATATGTTAACGTCACATATGAACAGTTCTTCAGATAACTATAGCATAAACAACAGAACAGAACAAGTTTACGAAACTCACGATCTCACTCGAAATCACTAAATCCATTGATTTCGTCGTCCTCGATGTCATTTCTGCACGACCTCCGGAGATAAACCATAGATCCATGATGTAAATGGAGCGCTGCTTCCTCTTCTGTGTAGCTGCCTTCAGACTCAGACTCATCAGTTCCAGTTACATTTATTTCGGCCTTTCTGAATCCTGACAGGATGGGTTTGGTTGTCACTGAAGTTCAGGTTTTGTCAATTCATCCAATGACTTCCAGGAAAGTTGCACCCGCCCGCTTCCCGTGAAACTGTGTTCTCCATTCCTTGCTTTCCGCCAGTCGCTCACAAGTTTCTCGCTCACTCCAAACTTTCTTTCTGCTGCTCGATTACCGTTTTCAGCTGCATATTTCAATATTTGTAGCAAGACAACGGCTTTTTCTACAGTAGACATGTGCAGTAGAACGCGAAGTGACAGTTGTACAGGAGTAGTAGTAGTACAAGATACTGACACACAAGCCTAGAGCGCCCTCTCGCTGCTGTCAGTCTGAAAATTTCAATATATAAGTTGCACTTTTTTCATGGTTTGGGTGGTCCTGCTACTTATAGTCTGAAAAATACAGTAAGTTTTATGATTTTGATGCCAACAATAAATATAATCTCTGGCAAATCAACATGATTTTAGTCATCATCGTGATTGGACGATGCTTTTACTCAATGTTGGTCATGCTGCAATTTTTACACTGTAAATTTTATAAAATCTTTTAAATAACATTTTATCACATTAGATTACAAAATGGATAGTGGTGTCCCTTTAAAACTTGTAAATTAAAATAAACAAAATTGGGTGTTTTATTAGCTCATCCAGATCCAGATCCTCCTGTCCCCTGATGCCGTCCCGCTGTTGAGTTCACCGGAGCTGACAGTGGGCTTGCGTCTGTCTGTAGACACTTCTCCACTGGGGACCACCCTCCTCTCCATCCCTCCCTCCCTCTCCTCCCCTCCCTCCATCCCAGACTTTCTCCCGCTGACAGCTGTCTCCGCACTGTAACCCTTTCATGGCTGCGTGCCCGCTCTAAAGTAACTCTGTACGTTGCTAAGCTGCACACATGTTCCAGGGAAGGCTTTAGGGGATTCAGGGGGCTTTGGCAGATGTAGTTTTGACAAAGGGAAATCAACAGCGTGTGTGAGACCATCAGGTACATGTCAGGATGATTCAAATGAGGAGGGAGTTCAAAAACAGTCCAGAAATACCAACTGGTGAGTTTAGAGGTGTGTATGAGAAGGTTCATTCAGCAGTGGAATATGACGAATTTGATTTTTTAAAGGAGAATGTCATTACTTATTTTCAAATTCCGTCAACTAAAAAAAAAATCTATAAATCAACACTAAATCCTGACAAAGGTAAAGGTGTATTCCGTCAAATGCTTTTCTCCATGAATAAACTGTATTATTGGTTTGTCTGGAATGTTTCACAGTATGGCATTAAATCTTCATGGAGACCAAGTCAGACCAAGTAACAAGTCAGATCTGTGGAGAGGCAACCCCACTCACAATCAGAGTGCATGTTTTTCTTGGTATTTTAGAGCTATAAAACCACCTGGAATTGAATAAATGTAAGATAGAGCTGTTTAATGTCACACTGTGGAACATTCTAAGCAGAGCAATGACATATCCATAGAAACAAGCAGGTGATGGACCCCCAACCAAAAAGTTACATAGTGCTTTTGTCAAAATGATGTTTAAAAAAACATATATAAAAAATACATTGTGGTTTTAGACTTTTGTAAAATTCTGCTGAAGAATTTGAATTTGTTTTTAAAATTAAGTAACACAGTTTATGCATTTAAAAAATGTACTATTGTGTGGGGATGTAACAGTAACCAAAATATCATGATATCGTATCGTCAAAAGTCTCACAATAATACTGTGGCCTGTCACAATATATCGAATTACAAGCCTCTCTGCTTAAATTTACTGTCAGTCAGGCTGGTGCCACCTAGTGCCTCCGCTCAGTTTCATTTCTCTCCAGCAACTAGGTCAGGAATTAAAATACAATATACGGTTCGCAAAAACCTTGGAAGTGCGAGTTCGGGCACCAGTCATTCAGCGAAGAGTGACATATTCAGTGTTGTCAACAATTCACGAAATCGAGGATTTAAAGCTGGAATAAAGAGAATGTTTGGTGAATTTTATCAAGGGGAAAGACGTTATTGCCCTTTTTCCTACGGGATTTGGGAAAAGCTTAATTTACTAGTTAGACCTGTTTGTGGCGCATTACATACATCACGACCAAATAGCAGCGATTGGTTAAATGATAAAAAGTACCGTCGAGCGAACGAATCCTAACACTGCGAGTTCAGACTGTTTCTATGAAGTGAAACGAAGTAAAACCAGTTGATGAATCAGTCTGTTATGGTGCAGCAACTGTTAAAAAAAAACACAGAGAACTACATAGACCATGATCCTTTGGTGTTGTCAGTGCCAATTTACATCACATTACATTTACATTACATAACAATAACACTTTTAAATCTTAATTCTTCATATTATAACAAGACCATTATAACAGTAGCACAATTTCACAATTCACAATTTTGTTAGCCTCCAAAAATATCGCAATAAATATCATATCGTGAAATGTATATCGTGAAAATATCGTATTGAGAGATTTGGATATTGTTACATCCCTACTATTGTATCAAGGTTAGATCTTTTGTATATTTTTTTATACATGATTGTGGTTAAAAAACAAAAGCATTATCAGCTCACAACTACCCCTAGTGGTATGTAGTGGTACAACCTGACATTTACAGTATATAATATTTACATAATTGTCATTTTTTGTCGATTAAAACATCGTATTTAGTTTCACTGTCCTCCTTTAAAAAAAAAAAAAAATCCCCTTCCCGCCTGTGCTCTTCCAGACTGGTGCCAGGCCTGTTTCCTGGTGGGCCTGTTTGTCATCAGCTCCAACTTCTACTGCTGATGTGACCCACTCTGCCACTCACTACCACATAACACCTGTTTATCCCCGAGCAAGACACACACGCACGCACATACACACACACACACACACACGTTATCCAACTGCAAACTGACAGGAGGCTAAGTTAACAGCAGTGTCCAGGGCAGAGTTATGGGGTTGTCAATAGGAGCCTTTGTCCCCCTGCCCCCTGTCACGGTGTCCCAGTCGCCTCAGGGCAGGAGCAGCACCCGCCGACAGGTGCGAACAAACTTAGCTTTTGGAGTAGCACAGAGGTTTAAAGTGCATTTGACAGCTTTTTTGTGATTATGACTTGGGGAGGTGGTACTTGTGGTAAATAGTTGCATCAGTTAAGTGGTAGTTTGGGGGCGGAAAAAGTTGAGAAGAAAACTAAACTGCAGTTACAATTTACACGCAATAAACACAATTTTTTTGGGTTAAACTTTGACTTTTCAAAATAAACGTGTTACATTTATTTGTATTCGTCTAAACATAGTTATTGTGCAGTTCAGAAGTAGTGTTTTGGCCCTTGTTGCTATAGGTAACCGTTATAGAATTGCCTTTATGTACGCCATCTGTTGTCCGTCTAACATGAAAAAAGTAAAAATAAAAAATGCAAAGAACTAGGAAGTCAAATCTGCAGTATTCTGAAGTTAACAGTGTTTTGGTGATATTAGTAGTCTAAGCGTTCATATGCATTTTCGAGTTGAAGAGACTTCAGTGGGAGGCAGCAGTTCAGTTTCCAAACTTTGTGTAACGCAATCCTGTGCAAGTGTTACAGTGTGTGTGTGTGTGTGTGTGTGTGTGTGTGTCAGCGCATTTAGAACTTTATACAAGATAATGAGGGATTATTGACGGTGCTTATCACGTTTGACTGACACTTAATGCAGGATTATGGGTTCAGGTGCTATTTAGTCAGATAGTATTAAACATATTTTTTGTAGATTGTTATAACTGATCAATTCTGACCTTAAAATGGCACTAGACTTAACTCTACTCCTCCTCATCCTACTACTACTACTGCTACTACTACTTCTACTACTACTGCTGCTGCTGCTGTTGCTGCTACTACTACTACAGCCTTTACTACTAGTAGTTGCACTTAAAAAAAAAAAAAATGTTTTTAAATATACAGATACTGATCCTAAAAGAAATTCCCTGTACTTAACTCTACTATTCCTACTGCCACTCATAGTGTTGCTGCTACTGCTATTCCTTCTACCACTACTACTAGCACAAAATCATTTTGTAAAGTATATTGTTTTATAATATAGACACTGACCCTACAAATGACCCTATACCTCATTGTATTACTACTGCTTGTACTTCTACTTCTACTGCTGCTACTACTACTACTACTACTACGACTCCTACTCCTACTACTACTAATAGTACTACTACTAGTACTCCTGCTGCTCCTGCTGCTGCTACTACTACTACTACAGATACTATTGATGCTACTGCTACTACTATTGCTGCTACTATTACTATTACTACAGCCATTACTACTACTACTACTACTAGTAGTAGCACTTTTTTTTTTTCTGTTTTTAAAAATATACAGATACTGATCTTAATATAAATTCCCTATACTTAACTCTGCTACTTCTAATACAACTGATAGTATTGATGCTACTGCTACTGCTATTCCTACTAGCACTACTACTACTACTACTACTACTACTACTACTACTACTACTACTACTACTACTACTACTACCTCTAGCACAAAAACGTTTTGTAAAGTATATTTTTATAATATAAAGGCACTGACCCTACAAATTACCTTATACCTTACTGTACTACTACTACTACTCGTACTCGTACTTTTACTACTACTACTACTACTACTACTACTATTACTACTACTACTATTACTAATGACTACTACTACTACTACTACCACTACTACTAGCACATTTTTAAACATGTTTGTATATAGGTAGACACTGACCCTACAAATTACCCAATATCTCACTTTAATATTACTACTACTACTATTACTAATTACTACTACTACTTCTTTTACTACTTCTACTACTATTACTACTACTACTACTACTAGTACATTTGTGTATATAGATAGACACTAAACCTACAAATTACCCAATACCTCACTTTAATACTTTACTACTACTACTACTTCTACTACTACTACTACTGACACTACCACTTCCACTACTACTAAAGGTGTAAACCAGTACATTCCACATCAAAACTTGGACTGCACCACTACTTGTCCTAAACCAAGACTAAACCAGGATTATACCAAGATTTAACCAAGACTAAACAGGAACAATTGCAGATTCAACTCCAAAAAATATATAGAGCCAACTATTTCTGTAGGAGATCAAATTGATCGCTGGTTGACTTATCTTATTTTAGTACTAATAGGACAGATTACGAACCACTGTCCCACTAATGTCTCTCCCCACTGTCACCTGCCAACAGCGTCTGATTCATAGCTTTCAAAAATCACTTATGAAGCGTCATTTACACGTTGCCTTCACTCCCTCCTCTTGGCACGGCCTATTATTAAGCATTGATCAGAATTTTGGTTTCAGAATTGGGCACATTGTCAAAGGCAGCTGCCATTACCAGGGAATTATCGGGAACTGACAATACTGAAACGACTCCTTTCTATTTTGGTTGATAGGGGTGGGCAGTCGTACTCCATTGTCCGCTTGTATGTGTTGTCATTATGATGGATAGAGTTAGAATTTTCACAGTTTGGGGTCTGAGCTGTGGACGGAGTGGACAGAGGCAAAAAGAGCTGAGAGTCTGATTTTTTACCATCTTAAAAACATGAAAAACAGAACTTTAAAAGCAGTTTGCAGTGGTCCAAAGCATGCAATTTTTTTTTTCCTCGTCATAAACATACCCAGAAGTTTATTTTGTTTATTTCACACATTTAACACACAAATCCTGCAAATAGAAAATGCTCTGTTCCACGTTGTGATGTAACGTGGTATTACAGGGAGTCTTCCACTGTGTTTTTAAACTCAATACACCTTCACTAGAATCATTTGGATGATTTCAGACCTGGAATTGTCAGTCTCTACTGGACAAAAGGTCAAATGAAGCTGTTAACTTGAAAACTACCGCTTCATGACATCACAACATAGAATAGAGCATTTTGAGCTTTGGAGATGTAGACAGACTAATAATAAGGAGCTACTCAAACACGTGTGAATGAAACAAAACACAACTTTTATGTTTTTGATGAGGTAACAACAAGAACTCCCTGAATCAGTCAGTTAAATGAGCGAGTGAGGTGATTGTCCATCCTCAGAGCTGCCTGGACTCTCTGTACTCGAGACAGTTACAGAGGACGTCCCAGAGGATTTTAAAAGACGTTCAACATCCACTAAACTCAGAGTTTCAGCAGCTTCCCTCTGGTCAGACCCTTTTAGTCCCAAGATCTAGAACAAATCGTTTTAAAAGCTGCCAGCTGCTATCATACTTAAGAATAAACTGTAATCTATTTATCTATATATTTTAGTACGTTTGTCTTGGAAAATTTTGTGTTTTTATATATATATATTTAATATTTATTGTGATTTTAGCCAAGCGTGATGGATGAATTTAACTAATAGTTTATGGAACAAACCATTCTGCACTGGAGCTCTGTAACACTTGATTTTGGACGTGTGTTTTTATATGGGTTTATTGTACATAATGAGGATGAATGAAATGTGAAATGTGGGACCTGCCTCTCAAATCTGCAAAATAAATTTACCTACGAGTACGAATAAAGCAACCTGACCTTCTAACATGGCTCAAAGCTCATGAGAGTCAATGATGTGAAATATTTGAGACTTCCGAGGATCCTAGGCAACCACGATGAGTTTATAAGCTCTATTTGCGAGACCGGCGCCGCTACGGTAAAGCCAACAACAACTAGTATGCTAACACACACTTCCTGATTCTCGGATGCTTTCATATTAGATGCAGACAGCTTGCTAAGCTTATCTGTGGTGTCTATACTACTACTATTACTACTACTACTACTACTACTACTACTACTACTACCACTACCACTACCACTACTACTGCTGTTGCTGCTGCTGCTACTACTACTACTACTACTACTACTTTTACTAGTATAGGTATATAGGTATTTGCCCTTTGAAATATTTGCTTTTGACCAGGATATAAGATTGTCTGTGGTGTCTATGCTTCTACTACTACTACTACTACTACTACTACTACTACTACTACTACTATTACTACTACTACTTCTACTGCTACTTTTACTTGTATAGGTATTTAAATTTGCCCTTTGAAATATTTGCTTTTGACCAGGATTTAAGCTTGTCTGTCTTGTCTCTACTACTACTACTACTACTTTTACTAGTATAGGTATTTAAATTTGCCCTTGACCATATTTGCTTTTGACCAGGATGTGGGCTTGTCTGTAGGTGCTTTCTGCAGTGTCTATGTAAATTCTGAGCATGTTTTGTGAAGGTTTGACATCTGCACATTCACACAAAACCCGGATGTTTGTTTGACTTAAATGCTACGCGTGTTTTCACTTTGGCTCATTCAAATTCTCCACCAAGGACACGCTCACCATCAGTATTCAAACGCCATTAGAAATCCATTTGCACTTTTAAAAAATAACACAGGAATAATCACTTCAGTCTAGTCAATAGCAGAGTCGCTCGATCTTTTTAATTGGAAAAATGAGCTAATATTTGCTTTTGTTTTGTTTTTATTTAATATTGAGTATAAATGCTTATTTTTTGTTCAAGTCAAGGTAGCAAGATTAAGTACAGTTATATAAAAAACTTTTAAAGAGTCTATATTAGGCTATTTTCTGATCTATGTTATAATGTTGTTTCCTCATTGCAAACATACCTGCAGTTGTTTTGTTTCCTTCACGCATGTTTAACACATTGTATTTAGACTGAGGCTATGTCTACACGACACTCCTGGATTTTTATTTTTTTATTTTTTGCGAGTTGAAAAAAAATTGCGTCCACACACGTGTCGGATCAATAAATATTCACGTTCAGACGGACAAAGGAGTACTGATGAAAACAGTGTAATACATATGCTGCACCTGTATGTGGTGCTGTAAACAGGATACAGCCAGAGCCACTACACACAATACTAGAAAATGTTCTGGTGGCATTTCTAGTTCTACAAGGGTTTAAAAGAATCCGACATGCCTGTACTTGTGTATGCATCTCTGCTGGTGTTGTACTACATAGTAGTTTAAGAGGTTTTGATGCAACAGTGTGTGGGGTTCTCTTCTGGTCACGTGGCGATAACGGGCTTGTGACTTCATCAAAAGCTGCAGTTTGCTCGTCCACACGAAAACACAACGCTGGCATTCTCAGATGTATCCACTCTGGAATCCGTTTTCAAAACACACAGTTTTCGCCCATGTGGATGAAAGGCCAAAACAAATACAAACTTCATTGTTTTGACCAAAAAAACACTGCCGTGTGGACACCGCCTGAGTTCTTCTCTCAAACTAAAAACACTCTATTCAACCTTGTGATGTCACGTGGTAATACAAGAAATGCTCCACTGTTTTTTTAAACTCCATATACCTTCACTAGAATCATTTGGATCATTTCAGACACAACTCTTGGTATGTTTTTCATGAGGTAACATGGTTTAAAGCTCATGAGAGTCAATTTTCAGGCTTTACTACAAACCTATAGCTGAACATCTGGAGATGTATCCCCTGCTCTTGACGGGTCGACCCAGCAGATAAAAGATGGGTCAAACGCAGAGGACAAATTTCCCCACGGGGTCAATAAAGTGTACCTTACCCGCTGTATGTACACTATCACTACTACTACCACTACTTTTCTTTATTTTTACTACTTTTAGATACATATGGAAGACATCAAACATATGAAGCAAAATATATGCATTTTAAAATGTATTAAAAATATTTACTAGTAATATTTAGCCTTTTCTTTACTAATTAATTCCATATATCGTATTTCATATATTCAATGTCTTCTGTTCTATAAAATGTATACAAACTAGTTCAAATATAGAAAGAAAACTCTGAATGTGCTAGCGCGTCCAAACCATTCTCGTTCAAACTTAGCGAGACAGTCTTACGCCCATGTTATTTACCCACATGTGGTTGTGACTGCAGCCTGATGTGGAGGTGGATTTGAAGTGTCCGTCCGTGGGCAGAGCTGGACACTTGCTTTTCTTCACAAAACCCCATTGATGGCACTGACCCGAGAACCTGGGGCCAACTGCTGCCAGCTGCTAACACTACGACAGATGCAGGCCAGTTGACACAATAATGAGACATATCAGAATACACACTCTCGCCATACTGGGACAGATACCAGGAATCAGAGGGGTCATTGTGCATTTGGGATGGCTTTTAGGATTTATGATGGATTAGGGGCAATGTCAACAAAACTAGTATTGTATGACATGGTTCTGTTCTTCTGTGGTAACTTTTAGCCGAACTTTGTGAGCCAGAAAGTTTGAGTAACTTTTAATTCATATAATCTTTTCTCAAACTGTGGTACTTGGTCAGGTGCGGGCTGTTTCTTTGGTATGATAAGGTCAAATTAAAATAATTTTGCATACACTGGGCGATTACTACGAATAATAATCTTGATATTTTTTAATCAAAGTCAGAGCAGGGACCGTGTAGCCTGATTCATCTGCCGGTTTCACTTTGTGGAAACTGTCAACATTAGGATTCGTTCGCTCGATGGTAGGCAGGTACTTTTTAAAATTTAATCAATCTATCAAGCTATTTGGTCGTGACGTATATAACGCGCTGCTAAGAGGGCTACCTGGTATATTAAGCTTTTCCCAAACCCTATAGAAAGAAGGACAATAACGTCTTTCCCCTTGATAAAA